TCAGATATAGGTAATATTTTGAAAATGCGTTCATTAACTATACGAACGGAACAAAATGTTACCAATTTTGGCATTGGGTGATGGATGGAGGTAAAATCTTGAAATTTAATAAGAATGTCTGGTGTATGTAGTAGAGAGTAGGCGTACTATGATTGTTCAGAAAGTTAACCAGTTAAAAAGCAGTAAGCTCGGTGAACTTTGAATATCCTCCACCATTTGGAACGAATTTAGAAATTTTCAAAAAAAAACAAAATAATAATAAATAAATAAATAAAAAATAGAATCCGTTAAAAATTCTTTTAAAATAATAATAAATACCGAATATAGGGAGTTACAACTTTTTTTTGGGGGGGTCTATACGAAAACCCAAACTCGCAGAGACAATTTTCTGTCACAGGCTATAGTACCCATATTGAAGTGCAAATTACGAAATTTGAAGCAATTCCGGAGGATAAGGTAGCTAAAATAATCAAAATGCCGAATATAGGGAGGTACAGATATTTAGGGACTATACGAGGACCTGAACCTGCACAGACAATTTTCTGTCATAGGCTGTAGTACTCATTACGAATTTCAAGTACGAAATTTGAAACAATTCCGGTGAATAGTGTCGCTGAAATCAGCAAAATTCCGAATATCGGGAGGAAACGTTATGGGGGCTATACGAAGACGTGAACCTGCATAAACAGTTTTATGTCATAGACTGCATTAGACATTACGAGTTTCAAATGCGAAATTTGAAAAAGATAAAATAATGTCGCTATAATCATAAAAATACCGAATATAGGGAGATACCGGCATATGGGGTGCTATACGAAGACGTGGACCTGCACAGACAATTTTCTGTCATAGGCTGCATTAGTCACTATGAGTTTCAAATACGAAATTTGAAAATGATCCGGTAAATACTGTCGCTAAAATCATAAAATTACCGAATATAGGGAGGTACCGTTATAAGGGGGCTATACCAAGACGGGCTATACTTACATGACCCGTTTTCAATACCAAAAGTTCTGCGGACATAATATACATTTGAGTGAAATTTTACCAACCTAATTCATTTTCATTCATTTCATTCGGAAGCTAGAGTGCTTTTCACAGAATGACAAACTTAACATACCCTCCATATAATAAGGTGAAACAGGGTATAATAAGGTGAAACAGAAGTAGCAGACACTTCCTATATCCATATATATTTTAAATCAGTAATATTTAAAAAAACGAATTATTTTCTTTTTTTTTAACAAATATTGATAACAATATTTCAAAAATTTTCTATTATGACAATTTAAAACTGTTTTGAATCAGTTGTTTTGATTCAAAAATCTTTAGTCCCAACAAAATATGTGTAGCAACCTGCCACAGAGCATAGTTTAAAACTGGACATAGATTTTAAATATATTTTTCACATCTCCATTTTTGTTCATTTGTTAATTTACCATTTGCATGCACTCGAATATTTAAAGCAATAAATTTTTTAAACAAATATCTATTGAACGTGCATTAAATAACAAATGGCAAATAAACAAAATACCATAAAATATATTCCATATCGACCAAAAAAAAAACGAATAAACACTGCCCAAAAAAACATTTGCTAATTTACACAACAGATTTGATCCAATGTCCATAGAAAAAATTCGTTAAACATGTTAACATGTCATGACAAACAAAAAAAAAACCACAAATTGAACCAAATCTGCAATTGTGGTTTCAATTGATCCCCCCCATGTTTGTTCAAAAGTGAATGAGAAATAGAAACGATGGCGAATACGAATCAAAATAAAACAGAAAAACACAAAAATCATGACAGATTGAAAGTGAAAAATGTTCAATTTGATTAGAGAATATTGACGGTGACCAGAAAAAAAACTAAAAACACAAAACAAAAGAATAAAAATTTACCAAAATGAATGACAGGCTGTTTTGTTGAATTTTTGGGGGGTGATAGACAAAATGAACGCACACACACAAATAAATCAATATTGACCAGCTGACCAGACAAAAAACCAGTTGTTATGACCGACAAAAAACCGACAATAACAAATGGGACCAACAATTGAATTAAGTTTCATTGTTTTGCTTTGACCTCTATTTTCAAATACCTCAATTTGGTTAGCCATCATTTGTTTGGGTGAGTAATTTAATGGTGAGTGCGGTACTATGGAACGTATGTGTGATGTTTAATATCATACGACACATGGGCTAAATCGATTTTTTATGAGGATATTTATGATAGGAGTCTAGTCTATTTTAATAATAATTATTAATCCTTGGAAATAATTGACTTACTGCATTTCCTTCCAATTTCCTTCAAATTACCTAAACCAAAAATAACTAAATATTTTTGACCTCTAAATATTTTCAATATTTACAATCAGATTTTAAAGGAACCTTTGGGAATCCACACATTGTTTATAAAAATGAATCAATACTACGATTCCTGATTTATTCAAAGAATTGCCATTAATAACAAATATAAGAACAACATAAAGAGACTATAACTTATTGACAAAATAAGGCCAGTTTAATAAAGTAAGACATATCCAGCACTAATTTTTGCAAATATAATGACTAAAAAATATTTTTCGATTTTTTTAATTAAATGCAAGATATTGCTTCTATTTTATAATGAATAAAGTATTATTATTTTAACACCGTAAGAAAAAATCAGTGGGACCTTACACTCTGAAAATACACCTTGGACAAACATTTTAGACTTTGCTATAATTTTACCTGCCAAAAGGCAAAATCATCTCCCAATCAAAATTCGCAGGGGATATCAAACAAACTTAAAAAAAAAAAATGTATAATACCATCAGTCATAGGGCTAGAGAGGGTATGTATCATTTGATAGGGCCAAATCGTGCCTCATCGAAATAATGGTTTTAGACTCTGGCTCTCTTTGGACCAAATCCGTTTCTGGACATTTGGAGTCGATCTAGCGATGTCCGTCCCTCTGTCTCTCGATCTGCTGGCTGGTTCGCAAAATAACTCTCGAAGGGAGTACCCGATTCGGTCCAAACTTGGTACAACGTAATATTATCAAGCTTAGATCGAGTTCGGAGATTGGCAATATCCATTCACTCCTCCTCCACCCCCCACACAAGGTCAACACTTTCATCAAATATTTTACACAAAAAGAGAAAAGATAATCCGATTTTCCTCAAACTTTGCAAATCCTAATATTTGCATCAGTACTAGGTCAGGCGATCATCTCCATTAAGAACCTCCCCCACAAATGGTCAAAATTTTGAATAACTCATAAAACGTGATGTAAGCCTCCGATTGTCACCTTATTATTTCTGTCAATACAAAATCTTTTACAAAGGTCGTAGAGATCAGACCATTCTTTCTGCTACCTCCCCCACAAAGGGTCAAAGTTTGGAATAACCAGAACGATTATAAAATCCAGAAGGAGTGGTCCGATGTTCTCCATCTCCTAACACGATTTCAGTTTGAGAATTTTTGTAGAATGTAATAAGTTCAGAAGAAATTAGGATACTCATTTCGAGAGTTATCCTGTGCATCAGTAAGACAGGTTGACGGACTGAGGAACGTAGCTATTTACACTCCAAATCTCATGACAGGATTTCGTCGGTAACGCACATTTTAATCGTAGAAAACGATATACAGGCTGAAGTAAAAAAAAACATCAAAAAATCAAACACCATATTTTTTAAATTTTTTTTAAATTTTATTGAATGAAAGCAAAAAATGTCGGAAATAGCATCAACTTTCAGAATAAGTTTAGATTTGATGGAATTGGTTACTTTTTGCACGAATTATGGCCCTCAAACGGCCAATGAAATCGTCACACGCTGCCGAATATTGCTCTGCGGTATTTTGGCCCATTCTCGGCGAAGCGCTGCCTTGAGGTGATCGACGCTTTGGTATTTTTAGTGCCAACCTTGCTTTCCAAAATACTCCAGACACAATACTCCAACTGATTGGTATCCGGAGATTTTGGTGGCCATTGTGAGCTGGAAATGAAGCGAGGAACCTCATTTTGTAACCACTCTTGGCTGGCGCGTGCTGAGTGCGATGGTGCTGAGTCCTGTTGTCTGTATAGAATCACATTTAATTGGCCCAACGGTCCTATTGAAATTGGAGATAATCGGTTTAAAGTTAGATATAGCTCCCATAAATATAATCTTTTATTGGGCACCAAATGTCTAATATTAGTTAAAATGGGATTGAATTTGGGATCAGATATAGCTATAGCTCCCAAATATATTTTTCTTCCGATTTGTTAAATTTCTCCTCCGCTGCCGTAATATACACCCCGTAACAACCGTACTCGGAGAAATGTATCATTTACATCTCTGAAGTACCTTTCCCAAATTTTATCGAGATCGGTTCATATTTGTATATAGCTCCAATATATATCTTTACTCGATTTCAAGTGTATTGTACACCAAATTTTTAATGTAAGACCGAATTTAATGGATTTTGGCACATACGAACGAATTTAACCAGAACGAAAGTATATCAAATTTGGTGAAAATCGGTTCAGATATAGGTCATATAGGTCATATATACATGTTTCATCAGATTTTGTATTTTACTCCCTTATACACGTAAAATGCTGTCCACGACAACGATATTTGGTGCCATCTATCAGATACAGCATGGAAATATATCTGCTAAATTTTATAGAGATCGGTTCAGATTTGGATATAGTTTTAAAGTGTAATATCAGATCAAATAGGATGGATTTTGATGAATAATAAGCATTCAAAAACGAACATATTGGATATGTTTTAATTCTCATAAATTCCCCATGGAAAGTCGTGTAGGGTACCAGTCCGACTTTGGTCTTTCTTTACTATAAATTTAAATCGAATTAAATTTCGGTGTATAAGGACTCAAGTATAGAAGAGTTAAGAGTATTTGGTATATAATCTTTTATTATATTTTGCTGATCATTTTTTTTAAATTTTGGAAAATTTAAGTTTCAGTTTTCGTAAATAACGTTTTTCTCTTTTCTCTCATTTCAGGTCCTGAAGGCTGTAATCTCTTCATATACCATTTGCCGCAGGAATTCACTGACACCGATTTGGCATCGACTTTCCTGCCATTTGGAAATGTTATTTCCGCCAAAGTTTTCATCGACAAACAGACAAACCTATCCAAGTGCTTTGGCTTTGTATCATTTGACAATCCCGAATCGGCGCAGGTAGCCATACGAGCAATGAATGGATTTCAAGTGGGTACCAAGCGCTTGAAGGTTCAACTGAAAAAGCCCAAAGATGCTTCAAAGCCCTATTAGAGGAGAAGAAAACAAAAACAAAATCAAGAAAATGGCCAAAACGAATGAAGAGGAGGAAAAGCATCACAACATGCACACACAAAAAAATAAAGAAGAAAATTTTTGCTGAGAATTGGAGACGGAAGGATAATGTTGATGGCTGAAACTGAATGAAGTTAATCAGGTGGTTAATTTAGACCATTTACGTAGAAGAGAAGCAAAAATATCTAAGAAAACAAAAAAATTGGAATTTTGAAACCATCCACTCCCCTAAGGACATCAAGGAGGTAAACATTGTGCAATTGATTTTGCTTTTTCTTTTGCAATTTGCTTATGGCCAGAAAAGAAGATTTGAAAAAAAAAAACTAACACAACAACCGTAATAAGACAACCCTGTTTGTGGGTTCTTCCTTTACTCACCCATACACACACACATACATATACATGTAGCTGCGTTCAAAGGAAGATCCTCTTTTTTTATATTTGTATAACGTTTTGAATTGAATATTTTATGTTTTATGAATTTGAAGTTTTATGAATACACTAGTGTGTAGTAGTAGTTTTGTAAGTAGTTGAGCTTTTAAAGCTTTTACTTGTTTTAAACATACAGTTCCCTTTCATCAAAAAAAAGCTTCTAAAGCTCCCTATTAACATCATCACCGATACCCCACAAAGAAAGTCTTAGTTTAAGTTTTTACGTTTGATTGTTAATTTGATGAATTTATCCCTGGATCAAAGTGTTATATAATACAATTTTTTTTGTAGTTATTTTAAGTTGTTAAAAACAAATTTATAATTTAATAACAATCTTATTTTATATTATGGAACACAAAAGCAGCATTGAAATATTTTGTTGGAATTTTTTCGTTAAGTGTAACTAGAGAATTGTGTTATACCACTGTACGCTGTATGCAACTGTTATACAACTTATGTTTTTTGGAACAAAAAAAGAAAATTAAATATTCAAAAAAATATACACTAAAAGTGTATAGCAAATTTAAATTTAATTGAAAAAAATAATTGAAATTTTGTGAAAAGTGAATTTCTGTTTAAAGTATATATATCTTCAAATTATATATTTAATGTTGCCATAAGTGTCATATCTTCTGCTCTCTTTTTTTTCTCTTCTAAGTTTTAAGTGAAATGAATTAAATGAATGTTAAATTGTCATGAAATGAAAGGACCTATATTGAATTCTCTAAAACAAAAATTTAAAAAAAATCTTACATTTTTTATTAATTCTGTCTCTTCATATAACGAATTTTTCAACTTTGCTTGTTCTTTTCTCGTTACATATTTTGATTTTTATATTTTTTTACACAAATTTTGTTAAGTCACATTTGTTCTTTTAAAAAAAAATATAATTTTTAATTGTTTAATGCTTTCTTTTCTGGATTTTGTTATTTATATATATGTAAGAAACAGTAACAATAACAAAAACAACACATAACACTGAATTACTACATCCACATCATACTTACTTAGCTTTCTTTCTTAATTGTATTGTTCATATATCTTATATCTTATCTATCCACATATATATCGTTCTATATATATTTACTTTAACATTTGCTGAAATATTCAAATAAAGCTTTGTTTTTTGTTCTTTATCAATATAAAAAAAGAAATTTTATTTGAGTTTTTTTTTTTATTTATTTATTTATTTTTTTTTTTTTTTTTTTGCCTTGCTATTGCTTTGTTCTTCCTACAACAGTAATTTATAAATAAAAAAAAAATATACGAGCATTTTTTGACCCAACATATGCTGGGGCAAACTCCATGTCAGTAAAAATTAAACTTTCACGGAAATACTTTCATGGGTCTTTCTGAATACTTTGGTAAAATATCCACAATTGTAGCTTAATTGGACCTTTAAAAAATTATTTAAAAAAAAATATGTGGAAAAAATATTTTTACAAAATATTTTACGGCAAGTCCTTGCAAAATAATTTAAAGAAAAATCAAATGTTTATCTCGCATTGGCCTTTCAAAAATATTTTTTATAAAATCCAATTTTATTTAGCTTATTATTCCTGTAAACAGCTTGTAGTTTCAGTTACCAAAAATTATCTTAATTTTTTTTATTTACTTATTTTTTCGATGTTTTGATGAATTATCTTGAAAAGGGTATTTTAAAAAAATCCACGATTACTTGGCGGATAATCAATAACAAATATTCTGCAAAAAAACTACTATTAATCCCAAAAATATTGTCAAAAAATCCCTTCGGTTTTTAAAACCAGTAAAGAAAGCCTTCAAGTCGGGCGGGGCCGACTTTATGATACCCTACACCACTTTGCTAATTAAGTAGAGCTCCACATAACAATTAAAAGTTTTTATGGGAGAATTCAATCATACACGCTATGATTATAATTATAATTTAAAGTTCAAAGGACTAAATATGCCGAAGTATTTGTATCTTTTAAATTCGGAATTGCATTGCCCATTTGGTGCACAATTAATTTGAAATCGGATAAAGATATATATGGGAGCTATATCCAAATCGGAACCGATCTCGTTAAAACTTGGCAAAGATATTTCTGAGCTGTATTTGATATATTTCCCTGAATATCGTTGTTACGGAGTACATACTACGGCTGTGGGCAACAAATATATCAAATCGGATGAAAAATATACACTGGTGGCCAAAACTAAAGCAACTGAAATTACAAGGAGAATGAATGCCCTGTAACTTGTTTAAAAATTAAGAAAATGAGAAAGTTTTTCTTGTTTTAAATTAGGTACTTTATTCACTTTTTAAAAACCTAAAACATAAAATCAAAATTCATGTTTATATAAAAAATAATGTTTGGTAAAGTCAATTAACCCGATTTTGGCTTGGACAAAAAAAAGCAACTCTGTTGTACATTCATATAACCGCTGCAATTTCAGTTGTTTTTACTGTAATATTTATCGCTTTTTGCTTCCTTCGACAATTTCGCTTGTCATAAATCCTTTTTGAGAAGTTTTTTACAACGGTATGTGTTTTTCAGTTCGTTTTTTAAGTACTGCCCAAAAAAATTTAAAAAATAGCTAAAAGAAAATACAGTACCTGAATAAAACAGCAAATTATCAGTGACTATCAAAACAACATATTACAGAAAATCATTTCCAAGAAATATTTCATAAATATTTATGTGACTTCATAATTATTTCTGTATACTAAGTCGGTTTTTTGAAACTGGATCAGTAGTAACAGTCTATAACGGATGAAGGCCGTGAAAAACTTCAGCCCGTACTGATCCACAAATTGTGAGAGAAATAAAAACAACTATTTAAGAGTTCAACTGGATTGGTGAGAGAGCAATCATTGGATATAAGCTCGAGATCAGTGCGTAGACGAGTAGTGGCAGCTGGTCTGCATGCCCGTAAGACATCAAAAAACCATTTATATCTGAAAAAAATCAAAAAGGCTTTCGGAAACGATAATATTAAGTGGAATCAAGCTCAATGGAAAAAACATTATTTCTGGGATGAGTCTACGTTTAATGTTAAAGGCTCAGACGTGAAAAATTTTACGGTGAGAAGGCCAAAAAATGAAGGACTCAAGCCGCAGTGTTGCAAAGGTACAGTGAAGCATGAGGGAGGGTCAAAAATGGCGTGCCGCTGTTTTTCTTTCTATGGACTTGGGCCTATCCATAAAATAAAGGAAGTTGTGGATCGGTTTGTTTACAAAGATGTGTTGGACATCACGTTGTTCCCTTACGCTGAGTAAAATATTCGGCTGATTTGAGTGTTTCAGCATGACAATGATCCCAAACTTGTATCAAAACTTGTCAAATATTGGTTGCGGGAGTCAAAAATTCATGTTTTGTTATGGCCGGCACAATCACCTGACCTAAACTCCTTAGAAAACCTTTGGAGTATCGTAGATAGGAAGATCAAGCGAGATTCGGAAATAAATAAGCACAACATTTTCTAAAGAATTCGTGGTGCCTGGGAAAGCACACCCAAGGATCAAATTGAGCGTGTTATAGATTCAATGCCTCGTAGGTGTGCAGCTGCTATCAAAAATAATGGTTATGCTATCGACAACTAGCCAAAATTTAATTATTTTAAAATAAAAAATCAAAAGTTGCGTTAGTTTTGACCAAGCAAAAATTGGGTCATTTTAGTTTTCCACATATTATTTTTCGTTCAAAATTATTTTTGTATTTTTATGTTTAGTTTCTTAAAAGTGAATTAAACCCCTCATTTAAAACTGGAAAAATAATTACGATTTGTTTATTTTTGTAAAAGTTACAGGACATTTATTGTCTTTGCGATTTAAGTTGCTTTAGTTTTGGCCACCAGTGTATGTGGGCGCTATAGCTATATCTGAGCCGATCTTCACCAAATTTGACATACTAGCTTCTAGACTCAATTCGGTCGTAAGTGCCAAATTTCATTAGGGCAAATATTAGACGTTTGGTGCACAAAAAAAATAAAATCGGACGAAATTATATGTGGTAGCTATATCCAAATCTGAACCGATCTCAATAAAATTTAGCAAAGGTATATCTCCCCAAATATTGTTTTTACAGAGTGCATATTACAACTGTGGTAACAAATGTAACAAATCGGATAAACAATATATATGGGAGCTATAGCTATATCTGAACCGATTTCGATCAAATTTGGCATACATATTTTCAGGGCTAATTTGGTTATATGTGCAAAATTCCATACTATTCGGGATGATATTACACATTTGGTGCACAATAAAATGCAAATCGGACGAAGATATATATGGGAGCTATATCTAAATTTTTACCGATTATCTCCAATTTCAATAGGGTTCGTCCTTGGGCCAAACAAATTATTTGTGCAAAATTTCATCTGGATAGGGCAATAAATGCGAACTGTACTTTGTTTACAAAAACACATGAACAGACGGACGGACATGCATAAATCAACTCAGAAAGTGATTCTATGCAGATCATCAAAAGGAACTATGGGTCTATCTCGTTTTCTTTTGCCTGTTACAAACAAATGCACAAAGACATAATACCCTGACCACCTTGTGGTGTAGGGTATAAAAATATGAACGAGAATTTTTTGACTAAACATATGCTGGGGCAAAATCCATTTCAGGACAAATGAAACTTTCACGGAAATACTTCCATGAGTCTTTCCAAACACTTTGGTAAAATATCCGCAATTGTAGCTCTATTGGGCTTTTAAAAACTATTTTTAAAAGAATTCTTCGAAAAAATATTTTTTTACA